TTGCATGTTTGATCAATTTCAGATTGAAGAAGTTGGTAGAATTCTATTTCATCCTCACTGGCTTTAGTGGTTGGTGTGTAAATCTGAATAGTAATGGTATTAACTGGGCTTCCCTGTAGGCGCATGGATATTATCCTATCACAGACAGCATTGTACCTCATGACTGATCTGGAGATGTTCTTTTTGACAATGAATACAACACCATTCCTCTTCAATTTGTCATTTCCGGCATAGTAAACCATATGGTCATCAGATTCAAAATGGCCAATATGAGTCCATTTCAGCTCACTAATATCTAAGATATCAAAGTTTATGCATTCCATTTCATTTTTGACAACTTCCAATATTCCCAGATTCATACTTCATACATTCCATTTTCCAATTTTCAATGGATGTTTACAGCTGTTTCTCTTCATTTTGAGTTGTGCCCTTTCAGCAAATGAAGGTACTGCAGGCTTTTCTCCATTCGCGTCATCATGGTCAACTCCAATTTGAGGAGGCAGCTCTTCCCCAGTCGCATTTTGAGTGCCTTCCAACCTGAGGGGCTCATTTTCCGGCACTATATCTGACAGTGCTTCTCTGCTGTTCATAAGGTTTTCAGTGACTAAATCTTTGGAAGTAGTTTGTCGCTCCTTCTTCCTAGTCTGTTTTCACCTAGAAGCTCATCTGAAACCTGTCAACCATGGGTCACCCTGCTGGTATTTAAAATACTGGTGGCTTAGCTTTCAGAATCACAGCAACTCACAAGCCACCACAGTACAACAAACTGACAGACGAGTGTGGTACCAAACATAGGTATCTGAAATTTAAGAAAGCTCAAAAGTTTTCATTCTATAGTACCAGCAAAAGCTGGGAATCTGGGCACATTCAATTATGGGTTAAATTCTGAGAAAAGTCATAATTCCTTTCTTAATGAGAAGTACACACTTCATGTTCTTATGGCCTTTTGATTTGATTGAATGAGAAGTATTATGGAAGTTCAATTCAAATTCTTCTCAAGTTCGTATGAAATATTCTCCAAGATAGATCACATTCTGGGCTATAAAACACACCTAAACCAAGTATGCTCTCACACCACAATACACTTAAACTAGCAATCAGTAATGAAAAGATAGTTGAAAATCTATCCAAATATTTGGAGAGTTAAGTACACACTTTTAAATAACACGCAGGTCAAAGTAGTCTCAAGAGAAATAAAAACATTTTGAACTAAATAAAAATAAAAGTCCAACTTATCAAAATTGGTTCAATGCAGCAAAAGCATGCTTAGAGGAAAGATTTAAAATTAATAATTGAAGGTTTCTCAGGAAACTTGGGAGAAACAGAAAGAGCAAACTAAATCTAATATAAGCAGAAGAAAAGATGTAATAAAAATCAGAGCAGAAATTACTGAAATTGAAAACAGGAAATCAATAGAGATAGTCAAGGAAATCAAAAGCTGGCTCTTTGAAAAGATCAGTAAAATTGATAATCTAGCTTGGCTAACAAGACAAAAAAAGAGAACACACAAAGTACTAATATCAAAAATGAAAGAGGGATAATTTCTCTGATACAATGAACACTGAAAGGGTAATAAAGGAATACTAAGGGAGTGTGTTGGCTGTGCAGGGTAAACACAAGACTGCAAACCACAAGGGCAGTGGTTTGAGTTCACCAGCCGCTCTGCAGGAGAAAGATGAGGCTTTCTGCTCCCTCAAAGATTTACAGTCTCAGAAACCCTATTGAGGGTCATTATGAGTCAGTAACAACTCAATGGCACTTAACAACAAAAACCAATGTTCTGCAATATAGCATAGGTCAAATGGATCGATTCCTTGAAAGACACAATCTACCAAAACTCACACAAGGTGAAATAAAGAATTTGAGAAATGTTTTACAAATTGAATCAATTATTAATAACATTCCCAAACAGATAGCACCAGGTTCAGCTGGTTTCACTGGCTAATCATACTAGATATTTAAGGAAAAAAATGATCCCTACTCCCTACCATCCCTCACAGAACACAGCGGACTGATTTTTGAAGTTCTTTGTTGTTAAGTGTCAATGCCTTCAAGTGGGTTCCAACTCATAACAACCCTGTATAGAGGAGCAGCTGGTGGGTTTGAACCACCAAGCTCGCAGGTAGTAGTCCAATGCTTATTCCAACAGCGCCATCCCAGAGGCAGAGTTGGAAATCACTGATTTAACTGAATTAAAATGATATATCACAAGGAGGGAAGAATACTGTAAAATATTTGATCTAGCAGGTAGTAGGTTGCTTTTTCTCCCTGCAAATGCATAATTACCCGAATCACAGAATTCAAGTCCTCAATTATGTTCTTATTGATGAGAATTGCATCGGAATAGTCCAGAGTCAATTGGAAATTCTCCAGTTCTACTTGTCCTTGTTTAAGAAGAATTTGGATGGTCAAATTCAACTGGAATTCCACTTTCTCTTCCTGTAATCTAAAATGAAACAGACTTCAAAGCAAGTAGTTGTAATATATTAATATTTCAAATTGTACCTACTGTCCAAGGATATCAAATTTAAACAAGTTTATGAAACATTCCCAAACAGATAGCACCAGGTTCAGCTGGTTTCACTGGCTAATCCAGAATGAAAACCATTCTGGATACTAATATGCAGAGCACTTCCTCCTGTCGTGAGTCTGTGGGATCTATAATGCTTCTTCCCACTGACAGGAAATGACGTTGGGCTGCTCGGTTAATGGTATGGACAGAAATACATTCATAAAGTTCTATTTTAGGACTAAGACAAGATGAATGGAATTGTGATTATAATAAAAAGAAACTAAAAATAGAAATAAATCAACAGCCATTCTGATGTTGTTGTTATGTGCCATGGTGTCGTTTCCGAGGCTGTAAATCTTTACGGGAGCAGAACGCCTCATCTTCCTCCCGCGGAACAGCTGGTAGTTTCGAACTGCTGACCTTGAGGTTCACAGCCCGATTCGTAACCACTACGCTACCAGAGCTCCTTGACATTACTTTAAAAAAAAATGGTTTCTTGGTCATTTATATTTGTCTCTATAGCCTAGACCTAAAAGTGATGTATAGTGATGATTTAGCACATCAGAGCAGTCTTTATTAGCTTGGCTGTACTTACGGCCAGAAAGTGAAGCAGGATCTTTAAATGAGCATTCAATAAACGTAAGCTCCTCTAAAGAAAACATTATTGGCTGGGTAGGTATCTACATGGGAATTACTTAGCTATCGGATTAATTTTATACAAGTTTAGCTTGTATGGCTTGACCCTAAAATGATTTCCTGGTAGAAACTGGTCCTTTGTGTTTTTATGTAGGAGGAACAGATGGAAAAAAATACTATAATTTTTCCAAAATTTGTCTGTTGGTGATAACAGCAATGGAACGTGCGAGAATGTTCTATTCTGACCTGTCTTATTTAATATGTAAAATGCCCATTTTTTTAATAAAAGAGACTATTTAAAGTGTAAGACTGGGACTAAGCTAAGTAAGTGTTGCCCAGCTGTAGACCACTGCCAGTTAGTTGCCCGGTGTTTTCTTAGACATTCGCCCTGCCCTGTTACAAGAGAAACCTAACTTAGCTCTAGCTGAGACTTTGAATTAATGAACATGAACAAAAAAAATAAAATTACACGATGAGTTCATGGAACACTTTTTCAATGTTCTTTTGCACCTTTTCATCATCCTCAATTCTCTTCCGGAGAAAAGCCAGCATTTCCATTAAGCCAGCTGCTTTCTGCTTTACCTAAAGAAAGCAAACCATAAACATCTCAGAAAATAAGAAGCTTTAGAAAGAAAACTCAGTTTTAAGTAATTTCAGAAAATAAACATCTTTGGACTTTTTCACTGCAAACCCTAAAGAGCCCATGTTTCTAAGAGATGGAAAGAAGTTATATTTTTGCCATTAGTAATATCTATCTAAACATTGTACATTCCATGGAGACTTTGAAGACCATCAAATTTTCTTCTTGGATGAAAATCAAGTCACTAGAATTTTGCTTATATCTTATTAAAAATTTTGTTCTCATCACCTTAGGTAAATAATAAAATCATTGATGCTTTAACAAAAATATGCCAGCCTGAGGCATGTGGCACAGAACGTAGGGATTTTTTCATTAGTGTGTGTGCAGTTGGGGGGGAAAAGTGGAATCAAGAAGTAAACAGAAAAGATAAAAGATTCTATTTCCAATTAAACACACTCACACATTTTTGTCGGTTGGTACATTTAAAAATTCTTTTAGTAAAACTATAAAATTGGTTCTGGTGAGCTAAATTTAAATCTAATATATGCAAAAAGATGAGTACACACAAACCCGGGCAGAGAGAAGGGGCAGGAAGTGTCTACCACAGTGCCATCCAAGAGAAACAGAATATAAGTCATAGGTATCAGGCCATCTGCAATTTAAAACTTTATAATAGTCATATCATGAAGAGTAAAATGAAACAGGTTGAAAGCAGTTTTATTACTAATATATTTAACACAATAGATCCCAAATATGATCATTTTGACATTTAAAAATTGAGATGCTTTAAATTATTTTTTTCCATACGAAGTCCTCTAGATCTAGTATGCATTTTCCGTCGACAGCACATCTCAGAACTGGCCACATTTATCTCAAGGGCACAATAACCACGTGTGGCTCGCGATCACCATCCTGGACAGTGTAGGTCTACAAAAGTACAGACAGGCATATGGCTAGCCCTCAGTAGCACAAAGGTCAACATTTGTTCTCACTGTGATTGTTAATATTGCTAACTATTACGCCTGCAAAATCTCTAAATAATGAGCTATTCTGGAAACATTGGCTAGCTTAAACTATATGTTAGATGTTGGTTGTTTGGTGGTGGTGGTGGTTATGTGCTGTGGAGTCAGCGCTGACTCACAGTGACCCTGTATAGGGTTTCTGAGGCTGTGAATCTTTATGGGAGCAGAAAGCCTCATCTTTCTCCCACGGAACAGCTGGTAGTTTCCAACTGCTGACCTTGAGGTTAGCAACCCGATTTGTAACCACTACGTTTTATTATACTTAAAAACAAACAAACAAACAAAAAACCAAAATGTAATTGCATACTTTCTGTTCATTTTCCACTTTCGCTCTTCTAGTTGCACAGAAATGCTCCCAGACCATGACATCCAAACCTTCAGGCATGTTATTAATATTGTCCAACTCATCCATGGCTTTCATGAACTGTGCAGAAGCTCCCTTATTCAGTCTGTCCGTTCCTAGTCGTTCTCCAAAAGGGACAACACTGGCCGTATCCTGGTGTGTTTTCTGCTTGGGAATCCTGTTATTATCAATAAAAGTCATCAATGATTCACAGCCTCACACACATAAAAAAAAAAAAAAAGTCAACGTTGAGTAAGGTTCTTAGCATAGAGGTCTGACACACGTTGCATACCACTTTCCTTTGGCACTTGAGGGCTGTGGTTGTTAAGTGCAGTAGAGTCGGTTCTGACCCATAGCCACCCTGTATAGGGTTTCTGAGCAGTGTATGGTTAGTTTGAACTGCCAACCTTATGGTTCAAATTGACCTTGCCACCCTATTCTTACCCTACAGCACCACACTGGGACTCTAGGAGCTGTTGAGTTCAGCAGCAAAGAAAACTGTTTAAAATTTTTTTCTTTTAAGCTGAAAGTTTCCTCAAATTTATTTTGTGTTGTTGTTGTTGTTAAGTGCCGTTGAGTCAGTTCCGACTCATAGCAGCCTTGTACAGGGTTTCTGAGGAATGTCTGGTAGGTTTGAACCACTGCCAACCTTGCAGTTAGCAGTCCAGTGCATATACTACAGCGCCACACCAGGAGTCTTCCTTGTATGTATAACTGCAATTAGTTCATATCACAAGGGTCTCTTATTTATTGGGAAACATTTTGGACAAAACAACTTGTAAACCTGTATGTCATGAACGACTTGAGGAGAGGAACTGCTTTCATATATGTAATAGCATTATGTCTACAAGGGAGCATCTTGATTCTGCAGATTAAACACTGGATCACAAGATCAGTGGTTGAAGCCACCTGCCGCTCTGCAGGAGAAAGAAGAAGCTTCCTGCGTCCACAAAGATGCTATGAGTCCAGAACTGACTCAGAGCCACTTAACAACGATGCTTACAAAGATGCTTAACAACTTTTCAATAATGAAATTAAATTTTTTTTCATTGCCTATACCTGGAGTCCTAAGGAGCTCTGGTAGTGCAGTGGTTATGAGTCGGGCTGCCAACCTCAAGGTTAGCAGTTCGAAACTACCGGCGGCTCTGTGGGAGAAAGATGAGGTGTTCTGCTCCCGTAAAAATTTACAGCCTCAGAAACCCTGTGCAGAGTCACTGAGTCGGAACCAACTCCACGGTACTTAACAACAACAACAACAACAACAGTACCTGGAGGCCTGGTGTGGTGCTGTGGGATAAAGCACTGGACCACAAGTCAGTTTGAACCACAAGGTTGGCGGTTCAACCTCACCAGCCACTCCTTGGGAACACTGTACAAGGTCAGTATGAGCGGAACTGACTCGACAATACTTAGTATCAACAACAACAACATACCTATACCTTAGGACTCCAGATGTCACACTGTAGGATCGGTACTAGATTGCAAACCACAAAGTCGGCAGTTCAAACCCACCAGCTGCGTCTCAGAAACCCTATACAGGGTCGCTATGAGTCAGAACTGACTCAATGGCACTGAACAACAACAACAGCTATACTTTAAGATATATGTACAATCTCAAAAAATACTGCGTTTTGATGAAGACACTCAAAGATCACCACCTAGAAGGATGTTGCTATAAATATTTCCAACTCATTGGAGGAAAAATCTGAAAATGAATCCCGTTTCTCTTCAATAACAAACTTTCCCCCAGAAATACGATAGGACAGAAGAAGCAAACCTTGGCCGGCGTTTGAAGAGTTTGTAGAGCACATCCACCTGTTGAATGGGGAGTTCAGAAAACTCCTTTTTAAAGCTGCGGTCCAGAACCTAAAGGAGAAACACACCATTGCCTGGACTGAAACTTGGCTCAAAACCTCTCATTTGTTGACTGTACTCTTCAAAAGACAAGATTGCCCTCACTTTGATTTAAAAAAATCCACGAAAACTCAATTTAGGAAGTAAAGTTGTTAGAGGTGACCATTCACTCTAAAAAGTTTCAGAAAAAAAAAAAATTGGTGTTTGAATAGTGCATGAAAAATGTCATTTAATAGAATTGTTTAGTTTTACATACTATCAAGAAGGGTGTTTCTCAAAACTTCACTAAGATTCACAAAACAATTACATTTAATATTATGATGGAGGATATACAAACTGAAACAAAAGTTTGACAAAATAATATTCCCATAAAATATATAAGGCACACTAATCTCGTATTTTTTTCATTCTATTCTACTCTATCCTATTCTATTTCATTATAAAAATACTGGTTATAATCTACGAAATTGATTTCACGACCCAGTACCAGGATCCACCACCTGAAGTTAGGAAAGCCCTGAAGTTTAGAAGATTTTCCTCTCTCTCTTTTCTTTTTTTCGTACCTAAACCAGAGCAGTTTACAAAAATTCATTCTGCACAATAATTTTCAGAAATATACTATGGCAGAAATTAAATTTACCCTTCATTGAGAATTCTGGGAGAAAAATACTAGGAGGAAATGAAACGGTCTGTCTTGTCACTTCCCCTGAATCCAGGCAGCAAACTCTCTATCGCATGATGAGTGAGAAAGACAACAGACTCACTTTGTCTTCAGCCACTAAGTTGTCATAGTACTCCTTGTATGTGTCCAGGTCTTCCTTAGCATTCTGGATAGCCGCTGCAGTCTGGATCTACAATGACATCAGGGACAGCTGACTGAAATAGAGACTTCTTAGGATAAAAGCAGTATTGGGAATGCCAAAAAGATCAAGGACTTTCATAGCATGAGATAGGTGAGTCAGTGAAATATTCACTACAGATCACATTTATAGAAGTAAACAATTGACAGTGAAAAGAGCATACATCCAACCACCTGTTTCTAGATGTAGCGGCTCTACAAACATATGTGACTGTGTGTCTATGGAGCCTGTCACAGGCGTGGCTGTGGCATGATGAAAACACACAGGTTTAGGAGCCACAAGGACCTGGGTGGTAGAGTCCCATCAACTGAATATACAGACAGTGGGGCACTAAGTATGACAACTGACCTCTGACCCACAACATCTGCAGCTACCTGTCTGGAAAGGCAATCCACAACCTCTGAAGCAGTCAGTCCCAAACAGTCAGGACTTGTTCAATAATGACCAGCTTCCTGATTTTGCCTCTGCTTCCAACTCATTCTCAATCAGATAAAGCCAAGCATGCTCTCCAAACCAAAATCACAAAGGATGCTTCAGTTCTCATGAATCTGTCTCCAGCTTTCTCATCCCAACATCACCAACCAGACTGTATCTGAAGCCTTCCCTTCTTGTTGACTATAAAACTTTCGCACTCACTTGCCTGCCCTTGAATCTGCTAAAAGCCAAGTGTTAGTAGCCATCTCCTTTGTTGTAGTTGTTACATGCTGTCAAGTTGGTTCCGACTCATAGCGACCCTGTATAGGGTTTCCAAGGCTGTTAAATCTTTACAAGAGCAGAAAGCCTCATCTTTCGCCCATGGAATGGCTGGTAGTTTCGAACTGCTGACCTTAAAGTTACCAGCCTGACTCAGCCATTACACTACCAGAGTTAATTCATGCATTCATAAACATAATTTATTAAGTCTACTAATAAAAGCTGAGGAGCTCTGGTAGCGTAGTGGTTATGAATCGGGCTGCGAACTGCAAGGTCAGCAGTTCGAAACTACCACCTGCTTCACTGGAGAAAGAGGAGGCTTTCTGCTCCTTAAAGATTTACAGCCTCGGAAACCCTGTTCAGGGTCGCTATGGGTTGGAACCGACTCGATGGCACTTAACAACAACAACAACAATAAAAGCTGACACTGAAATGTATTATGCAACAAACATTCATTCATTGTCTCTCTAATGGATGACATGTCTTACCTTCCATGTTCCTGTTAAGATAGAATTTTTCTGAATATGGCAAAGTTTCTTCATTCTAGAAGCTAACTCGTTTACTATGCTTGCTTATATCTTTAGTAAAACTTAGGGTGCCAAATGGCCCAGAGCTTAGAAGTTATATACCTTGTCTAAGATCTCAATTCCTGACTTGTCAGGGGGTACGAAGCAGTGCAGCTATATGACCTCATTTTAGAAATCACCTGCCATAGGAAAGTTACACACGTCTTTTTTATTGTTGTATAAATATATAACACAACATTTGCCAGTTTAACATTTTTCATGCGTATAATTTAATGATATCAATTTACATTTGTCATGTGCAGCCATCACTAATTTCTGTGGCCTAATTCCCATCACCAGTTACCTGGTTCTTTTGAGTAGACAATTATGGATGCAGAATCACATAATTTTATAAATAGATTGGAATGGATACTTTCTCCTGGCCCTGAAACACAAATCCAAGGACCACTTACACAGGGTTAGGTAGGAATGGTGGAAGAAAGGAACGGTTCTAGGACAAATGAGCTTTTGATAAACAAGGAGCGTATCTGTCAGAAAATGCTTGTATTCACATAGTAGATACTCACTTTCTTCCCCTGCTTCCTTGCAAGGTAGTTGTTCAGACACAATTCTCTGGAGTTTATTTCTTCATCCAACAGTAAAGAGAAAAGAAGATTATTTATTTTCAATTCCTCCTGTAGAAATATTGTAAAAGTGGAAAAAAAGAGAGTTCAATATTTATGAAAAAGGAATTTCTATTGAGAGTCATAAACTTGGCATGAATCAAAAATATCTAAGGCACACAAATAAGAAAACTTTATTTTAAAGAAAAAAGAAATACAGACTTTTGCACAGACAGACATCTGACCATTTCCACCTTCCCCCATTGTACTAGGAGCTCTGGTAGCGTAGTGGTTACGAATCGGGCTGTGAACCTCAAGGTCAGCAGTTCGAAACTACCAGCTGTTCCGTGGGAGAAAGACGAGGCTATCTGCTTCCGTAAAGATTTACAGCCTCAGAAACCCTATGCAGGGTTGCTATGAGTCGGAACTGACTCCACGTCACATAACTACCACCACACCACCATCTTTGTAATATAAAACATGGATACAGAAAGATACATAAAACACACATATAGTATAATGAGTTCTTATAACTACTACCCAACTGGATAACTAGAACTTGGCCACTAGTGGAAACCCCTCCTTGGGCCCCATCCTAAACCCAAGTGCAGTAGTAACCACCATCCTTACTTTATAGTAAAGACTTCCTGTGTCTCTTTATAGTTTTGCTAGCTGAGTGTGTCTCTCCAGCCACTGCAGTCTACCTTGTTCATTAAAAATACTGGGTCAGATCTTTAGGTTCCTCTCCCCCCTTCTTTTCCTTATAACATGAGTACATACGTAGTTATCTACAGTTTCTGTCGTTTTCCTTGTTTTATGGACTCATACTTGTGGGGAGTTCATTCGGCTCCTTTGTCCTCTGTGTTTCCTGAAAATTGGCAGCTGGATCCAGAGGCCTGATCAGACCTAGTCTTGAACTTTTTAGGAAGACCATAGGTAGTATTGTGTTCTTTGGTGAGGAGGCAGAGACTGTCTTTCTTTGATGCTCAATGCCCAGGTCCATTAGTCAACTGAGAGTTGCAAAGTGGTGATATGATGTAATTCCTTTTTAAGCTTATTAGTTAAAATACTTCTATAAAGAGACAGGTCTCTTTACATACTATTTGATTACCCGGTAATACAGTTCACAAAGGAGTCATTCATTGTGTGGCCTTTTGTGACAAGCTGACTTCACACACTTAACAATAACAACAACACTCTTTTAATCCATCTGCGAATCCATACTTCATTTCCTGCCATTAGGCCACCACCTTGTAGGCATCCCTGCCAAACTCCAGCTCCTGGTGAGCTGTGCTCTGTATTTGCCTGCCTCCCGTGTTTTGAGATGACACTTTTAGGAGGGTGGTTTTTTCACTGTGGCAGCTGATTATCAGTTTTGCTGCTTTTTTCTTGTTGTGAGGACGGGAATGACAACTTCTAAACCCTTTACATGTCATATCAGAAACTCAAAGTTCTTCAATATTCACCTATTGTATTATTATGACAATATGTTATTCAACTGAACCAGGTTTGAATTATTATATTTACTTTCTTCCACAAGTTTTGTTTTTTGAATTATTATATTTTCTTTCTTCCACAATTTTTGAATTAATAATTCTTCCCTTTACTAATTTACCTCTAAACTCAGCAGGGTATAAATCCCATTTCATGGGTTCCTAAAGCCTCAGAGTGTCTGATTTCTGTTTGTGGGGGAGGCTCTCCCTCTTACAGGGGAGGCCTGGTGACGCAGTGGCTAAGCATTCAGCTGCTAAATGAAAGGTCAGCAGTTTGAATGCACTGAGGGAGAAAAGGGTGTCAGTCTGCTTCCATAAAGGTTTACAGCCTTGGACGACTGTAGGGCAGTTCTACTGTGTCCTCCAGGGTCAGGATTAGTCAGAATCAACTTAACAGCAGTGGGTAACCCTTCTGGAGTATTCCATCCTTTTGCAACTTGGACTGGGATCTCCCCTCAACAATGAATTGAGTTTTGCCATTTGCTCCTCCAGTTCCATAGTCATCCTTCTCTACTGTATTCCAGGCTTCTAAGGATTGCATTATCCAGGCTGATAACCCTCTGGATTCCTGGGGGTTTATCTCATTAAGGGGAAGCACCAATAGAAGATCCAAGACAGGAGAAGACACTCCAGGCTAATGATTATATTCTTCTATCTGGGGTTCTGTCCATGGTAAAGTCTCTCTCCCATGGCTACAGTTCTTGCTTGGTTCTAGTATCGTCTCCCTAGGCTTGCTCTAAGTTGCCCTAAAGATGATACTGCCTCCCCACTGTTTCTAGTCTCTAGATGTTTCACCATTCCATGTTCTTTCCATTAACCTTACCCATGACGCCATCGAAAGTCCTTTCATCAATCTGTCTTCATTTGAGCCCATTTCTGGTGGGACCCTGATGATAGACCCAGTCCTCCTGGAGATTCCCTCCTCCCCCCGCCCCCCCAGAGTTGGATCGTCTTGTTTGGTTTACCTCTTGCTTGATGACACATTTTTTTTTTAACAACTTCCTGAAGACTGGGTGCATGGGATATAAATTTTTGAGATCTTGCGTTCTCAGAATATCTTTGTTTTCCTCTTATACTCAACCATGAGTTTGGCTGGCTATAGAATCCAATATTAGAAATAATTTCTCTTGGAACTAAAAGGCATCATTCCTTGGTCTTCTTGCTTTCCTGGTTATTTTCCATTTCATTGATATTCCTTCTACTGGAGGAAATTAAGCCATGGTTTTCATCTGAACCTTTGGGGTATGAGGATTATTCATTCAGCCAACACATACTAGAAACCAAGTCTTTTGCCAGAATATAGGGGTGAATAAAACAGGCTTAATCTCTACCCTCAGGGAGCTTACCATCGTGTTATTGTTGAAGTACTGTCAAGTCAGTTCCTACTCATAGGAATCCTGTGTAGAGTTTCCAAGGAGTGGCTGGTGGGTTTGAAGCACTGACCTTGTAGTTCCCTAGGTATCCTGCAGTGCCACACCAGGGTTCATTAATAGTGTTGTTGTTGTTTTTAAGTGCTGCTGAGTTGGTTCTGACTCATCGTGACCTGTACACAGTTTCTAAGGAGTGGCTGGTGGGTTTGAAGCACTGACCTTGTAGTTCCCTAGGTATCCTGCAGTGCCACACCAGGGTTCATTAGTAGTGTTGTTGTTTTTAAGTGCTGCTGAGTTGGTTCTGACTCATAGTGACCTGTACACAGTTTCCAAGGAGTGACTGGTAGGTTTGAACCACTGACCTTGTGGTTAGCAGTCTAGTGCTTATCCTCCAGTGCCACACCAGGACTCCAACATGGAAAAATAATCTCCTATGAACTAAAATTCAGTGGCAATAAGCAAGAAAAAGGGAACAGAATAGAGGACCTAACATGAAGCTCTAACTCAGTCTAGGAATTCATTTTAAACTGGAAGTGAAGGATGAGTGGATATAAGCCCGAAGGTAAGGAAGCGCAGAAGACAGGAGGAAAGAACACAAAGTAGGTTGGTGGCTCTGCAAGAGGGGGTGTGACTAGTGGGGTGGTGGGCACCAGATGAGGCCAGGGGCCAGAGAATGCAGGAGCTCTGAAACTAGTAAGAGTATCAGTCTTTATTCTAATAACAATGGAATGCTCTTGAAGCTCCTTAAAAGAAAAAGAAAGAAAAGAGAGAAAAATCACATAAGCAATGCTTTTATTTACCTGGTTAACAACCATCTCTGCATTCACTCTCTTTCCAAAGAGTCTTTTCAAATATTCATCGAAGGACTGTGTGCTTTCTTGAATAATACTCTGAAGTTTCTTCATTTCTGCTTCTAGCGACTGAAAGAAAAGCAGTAGTAAAGATAATGTTTAGGAATATCAACGTGTCCGAGGAAGTGGTGTTTACAGTTTTCTTGGAGGTGGCACAGAACAAGGACAGATAGAAGGCACAGCTTGTGACTGTTCTGGGCCCTCCACCTCTTCAATCAGAGAGCTTCACTTGGATCTGTGGAATAGAGTGTATGTCTGAGATTTTTGCTTAAAAATGTTTATACTGGGGAAAAAAAGGTGAAAAATCACTAATCTTAGCTAAGGATGTAGACAAAAGTAGGTTTAGCACAATACACGACAACAAATCTCTCCTTTCTTTTTTGAACCATTTCAGGGAAAATTATAGATACTTGAGAATAGAATAAATATTTTATAGAAAGTCATTTATGTTTGTCCTGGTGTAGTGCTGTGGGTTAATGCACTGGACTGCAAAGTTGTTTGAACAGCAAGGTCGGTGGTTCAAGCTTACCAGGTGCTCCTTGGAAACCCTATATAGAGTCACTATGGGTTAGAACCGACTCAACAGTACTTAACAACAACGGCAACAATGTTTTCTTGTGTTTGTTGTTGTTGTTAAGTGCCATCGAGTCAGTTCCAACTCATAGGGACCCTGTATAGGGTTTCTGAGGAGCAGCTGGTAGGTTTGAACCGCAGACCTTATAGCTCAAACGGACCTTGTGGTCCAGTATATTAGCCTGAAGTGCCACACCTGTACTCCTCTCTTGTGTTTAGGCTCAGGTTATGTATTTCTTGCAGTAACACTCCCTAAGTCATGTTGCAGCCCTCTTAGTGTACCATCACAGCAGACACATGATGCTGATTTGTTTCATCATTGGTGATATTAACATAAAATAGGAAAGGAACACATCTCAATGTCAATTTGCTTGTAATACTTGTATCAGTGTCTCAGAGGGATGAGAGAGTCTCATGGTCCGTGGCCTCCTCTGCACTGGACTGCAAGATTGGTTTGAACTGTACGGTTGGTGATACTGAATGGGACACTGAATGGTTTAAAATCAGGAAAGATGTGTGCCAGGGCTGTATTCTTTCTGTATTTTGTATTCTGAAACAATAATCTGACAAGGTGGATTATATGAAGAAGAGTGTGGCATCAGGATTGGAGGAAGACTCATTAACAATTTTTGATATGCAGATGATACTACCTTGTTTGTTGAAAGTAAATAGGACTTAAAACACTGCTGAAGACAAAAGATATGAATTATCTCATTATGAATTGCATCTGAATATAAAGATCATTAAAGAACATTGGGTTCCTCCAGTCTCTTCCTGACCAGTAACACTGGTCTTTTTTTTTTTTTTTTTTTATAATTTTGAGTCTTGTTCCATATTTTCTCCTACTCTATCTGAAACTTTCTAATGTGATCTCTTTCAGAGCAATAGGTAGTGGTAGCCAGGCATCAAGTTCTTCTGGTCTCAGAGTCATGGTGACTGATGTTCATATGTTACATTGGTCCACTGGACTAATTGATTTTCATCACTCTTCTTTCTTCCACACATATCAAGTCCTATAGCTGCACCTTAGATGACTGATCATGAGCGTTTAGGATTACAGTTGCTATTCATCAAAGTAGGATGTAGAACATTGTCTACAGACTATGATATGCTAATTGACTAGTGTGGCCTCTGCGACTATGGTCCTGAACCCACAGGCTCAGCAATTCATTGCCTTAAGATGTCTGGTAATATGTAAGAGGTTTTCCTTACGTTTTTCCCCTGAATGCTCCACAACATTCATAAGTGTGTTTGCAGCAAAGGTGAATAGCCATGTATAAATGCCCGCTGTTAAATCCTTATATATTTGTGGAAGTACTCCTACTCTACCATACCTGTTTAACCTCTGCATCTATCCATGGAGCGTGTAAAACACTGTGCTTCCAGGATTGTGTGTATAACAGTATTTACCTCTATCCCCTTAACTCTTGCATTCCTCCCTGTGTCTTCACCAGTCTTCATCACTCTGTCCTATTATTTCTTGATGGCAGCTTCCATGAGCATTGACTGTGGATCCAAGTAAAATGAAGTCAACTTCAATCTTTTCTCCATTTATCATGATGTTGTTTATCGGTCCAGTTGTGAGCATTTTCCTTTTCTTTACATTGTGTTTTCATCCATACTGATGGCTGTATTCTCTGATCTTCACCTGCAAGTGTTTCATTTTCATCAAGCAAGGTTGTGTCAGCTGCATATCTGCAGGTTGTTAATGAGTCTTTCTCCACTCCTGATGCCACATTCTTCTTCATATAGTCCAGCTTTTTAAATTATTTGTTCAACATACAGATTGAATAAATATGGTGAAAGGATACAAGCCTGGCACACACCTTTCCTGATTTTAAATCAGGCAGTATTCTCTTGTTCAGTAACCTCATATGCATGCAAAAGCTGGACAGAAAATAAGGAAGACCGTAGAAGAATTGATGCTTTTGAGTTATGGTGTTGGAGGAGAATATTGAAAGTACCATGGGCTGCCAAAAGAACCAACAGATTTGTGTTGGAAGAAGTGCAGCCAGAGTGCTCCTTGGAGGCCAGGATGGCCAAACTTGGTCTCTCATACTTCAGACATATTGTCAGGAAGGAGGAGTCACTGAAGAAGGATATCATATTTGATAAGGTGGAGGGTCAGAGAAAAAGAGGAAGACCCCCAATGAGATGGATTAACCCAAGTGGCAGCATTGATGGACTCAAGTGTGGCAACAACAGTGAGGTTGGCCCAGTATCAGGCAGTGTTTCATCTGCTGTGCATAGGGTTGATATGAGTCGGTACTGACTTGATGGCACCTAACAACAACATTCTCTTGTTTTGTTTGAACAACTGCCTCTTGTTCTATAAACAGGTTCCCCATGAACAGTTGTTTGAATGAATGCCTCTTGCTCTATATGCAGGTTCCCAGTGAACACAAAATGTTCTGGAATTCCATAATTTGTTATGATCCACACAGTTGAATACCTTTGAATAGTCAATAAAATACAAATAAACATCTTTCTGGTATCTGCTTTCAGCCAAGATCCAGCTGATGTCAGCAATGATAGCCCTCATTCCAGGTCTTGTTCTGATCCAGCTTAAATTGCTGGTGCTCCCTGTTAATGGAACACTGAAACCTTTTTTTATTTTTTGTATGGAGAGTTTAACTTTAATTTTAATTCACATTTTGCCCCAATGCACAGAATAGTGAACATTTCAATGTTAAAAAATTACAAACAAAACCCTTCATTCCCACATTAGTTATTTCACATCAACAGCATATTAAATATATATATATATATATATATGTAGAATCAGTGCTGTGTCTTAATGGAAAAAGCTCTGGTAGTGCAGTGGTTAAGCACTCAGCTGCAAACTATAAGGTTGGTTGTTTGAACCCACCAGCCACTCCATGAGAAAGATGTGACAGTCTGCTTCCATCGGCCTTGGAAACTATGGGCCAATTCCACTCTATTCTACGTGCTCACTATCAGTCCGAACTGACTCAGGGGTAAGGGTTTGGTGATTGAATTGAGAACAAGACAAGTATTTCAATTTAAAAACAAACAAACCTAGCACCTTTAAAATAAATACCAATCACCACTTTGTAAATCAGAAGTATTTCAAGAGAGGGAAAAGAATCAATTCATCAACAGTGCCAACTACTAGCAGCATTTTCAAAGCAGAGGTCAAAATCATGTCAACACACACCCACCTACCACCCTGACCTGTCATTGAACTTGTACTTCTTCCACGGTTGAGCCCTGACCCAACGGCTCAAAGGAGCTCCTGTCTGAGTCTCTCCAAGACTCCAGACCTGAAAAGTTATTGCCATTTTTAAGCTGTGAGCTGGAGAAACAGGAGTTCAGCATAAGGGAGATCAGAATGTTTGAGTAGGCTGGAGTTTTTTTTTCAGTAGGTTAACTAGTCACATTTTCAATCTAACACACACCTGACAGTGGCCTTGATGTCCATGGGATGCACCTGAGACGTGACTTTGCAGCCAGACGATTCCAGATCAACTGAGAAGAGTTAAAAACATTTGTCGTTCTTACCCCATTACAGCTGACCAGTGCTCAAGCAGGGAATCTTGTTAAGTCTTCCTTTCCACATGTTAATGATTAGTCCCTTTTCACTCAATGCATTTCTTAAAGGCACAAGAATGATGTTTTCTTTCTTGTGAGCACTCCATTTTGACACTGGACCTTCAAGCTTTATAACAAGTAAACCAGGTATATATATGTTGTGTTGTTGTTAAGTGCCGTCGAGTCAGTTCCGACCCATAGCGACCCTGTACAGGGTTTCTGAGGCTGTAAATCTTTACAGGAGCAGAAAGTCTCATCTTTTTCCTATGGAACTGCTGGTAGTTTCGAACTGCTGACCGTGAGGTTAGCAGCCCAATTTGTAACCACTATGCTACTAGAGCACCTTAGGTGTATATATATATATACACACACACACACATATTGTTAAGTGCCCTCGAGTCGGTTCCAACCCATAGCGATCCTGTACAGGGTTTCAAGGCTGTAAATCTTTGTTGTTGTTGTTGTTAAGTGCCTTCGAGTCGGTTCCGACCCATAGCGACCCTGTACAGGGTTTCCGAGGCTGTAAATCTTTGCGGGAGCAGAAATCCTCATCTTTCTCCTATGGAGCGGCTGGTAGTTTCAAACTGCTGACCTTAAGGTTTGCAGCCCGATTTGTAACCCCTACTCTATACACACACACACACACATATATATATGTGTGTATATATATATATATATGTATGAGAGAGAGAAAGAGAGAGAACATGGCCGAGATGACTGGCCAATTGTTTGCATAACAGTGTTAGGGAAAAATAATTGTTGGTAGAAGTGCTTTCTAAACCATTCATTTACCAACTGTCCAGACCAAAGGTCATCTCCAAGCAGGAAAATTCTGATTCCAATTTCTCTACAGGCTGATGTGCAATACAACGTATCCTATTCCCAAGTACTTGCAGGAGAACTTGCTTGCTTGCTGTCACCAGCGCTGAATGGGCTTGTAGACC